TAACAGTGCTGTTCCTAAAGTGGCGCTGGGAAACAGTAACAAAGCCTACACAGAACACGAGGCTAATGGCCGTAGTAGTCGACGCCGATGACACCAAATTAAAAAATGAAAAAAAAAAATACTTTGAGCTCAGGATTCTATAGTTGAAATATTTCCAATTCGTAATGAAACCCCCTGTATAATATAATTTTATACAAAAAGCTTTCTCTTCCGATTTTCAATATTTATTTGATGCAATACATTAAAAAAAATTAGACCTATTAAATACAAATCCAGTAATTAATAATAATTCTATTTTGTTTCTAATAATAATAATAATAATAAAAATTAAATAAGACCAGAAAAAAAAATTAAGGATCTTCTAAAAAGAAATCAATTCAAAACTTTTTAATTGACTTTTATGAATTTTACGTTTCTTGTGAGACAACCAATATGTATAAAACGTTCATCATAATGAATCTAAACATAAAATACACAAGCTATATTGGCAACTTGCTTTAAAGTAAGTATAAAAAAAATTAGAATATGAGAAATATCTAGGTAGGTACTATCGAAAAATACTTATCTTCCTAGATTTAAGCTAGTTATTACCTAAATAAAGAAAAAATTATTTGTTCTAATGAACCAGTTTATTTAATAATTTGTAATTTTTCGATAATAAGATTTCTTTACATGTTGAGGTTTTTTTTTATTTACAAAAAAGAATATTAAATTAAAATCAAACGAAACGAAACCAACTTATGTTATACACAAAATTATTTTATAAACTATACCTACCTTCAAACGATTTAGTTAAAATCAATGTTGTCATATTTTAATAACATAGTATTTGTTTGAAATACGCATTATTTCCTCTTCCGTCTAGACTTTAAATTATTAAACCTACATTACGAGTAAAATGTGGGCGAATCGCTTGTTTTTTGGACTATCGACAACTGGCTGAACTAGCTTATCGGTAAAGAAAATATTGCCGCGTATATTATTTTAAATTACGGCCTATTTTTTTAATTAGCCATTTCCTTCGTTATTACGTCGATTTGAGAATTTGTTTCAACGTGATTTTAATTAGTAATTAATAGATTATTTGCTTTAATTTTTATTGTTTTTTAAATTGCATTATTGATTTAAGTATTTCAAAATGTGCACTAAATCTTAGCTTTTATCGTTTTTAAATTCATTTTGAAGTAAAATTAAAAATTATTTAACGATCCCAAATTTGGAGACGACTTCAGGAAGTTCGGCCAAAACACCCTAAGAAGAATTGTGCAGAATGCAGCAAACAAGTTTGCATTGCAATGTTTCCGAAAATGGAAATAGACAAATGGGACAGAATGCCTCTCGTTTGGGCTCATTGTGCCCATACTATTCAGCGTTTGGGCTCATTCCGTTTTCGAGATGTGGCCTCCGAAAATATGCGATGCATCGAATTGAATGGGCTGATTAAATATTGGGCATAGTCGAAGCATCTGGGAAAGGGAGGATACTTTATAGGGTATAAAAACATTGTGCCTGATTTAATGTACTAATCTAGAACAAAATATTGGAGAAGGTGAGTCACATGCATGATCAACACTGTTGTCTATGAATGAAAATTCCGACGGAAAGTAACAGAGTCAGCAAAGGCGGCGTATCAAATACCAAATAATTATTTATTTTTGTCAATATATTTATTTAAACAAAGATGATGCTTTTAAAAACGTGTCATCTCTGTTCTTGGCAATTTCGTTGATCGTTACATTCATTTAGTTAGACAGCCAAAAAAGTCCGTCCATGTGTGGATCAGGTAAAGAGTCAAAACCGCTAAATCAGTTGAAATCAGTTTTAACTCTGCAATAGAGAGTAAAATTTTGTAAGATGATACCCTAATATTTGGAGGCGATGACATATGAATGTGTTTCAAGTAAATAAACGACAGACGGGTTACAGATTGAATATTGTCAGCACAGGCACAAAGACAGTTGAAAACTAACGATAATTATTTTATATTTTATAGACACTTTTTTGTATAAAAGCTCTTTTCTGATATACGAGTAGGTGTTCATGTTTGTGACTTACAATTTGGTAGTGGTAGTGCATATTCGAGGAGTTATATTTATTGTGTAGTATATTAGGTAGGTACTTTAAAAGTTTATTAAATAGTAAAATATTGGTGTCTTTATAAATTTAATAAAAACAATTTAATAGTAGAATTATATTGATACAATAGTAATGGATTCAGAGGCGGGTCCAAGTGGAACCTAATTACGTCGGCGAAAGCCCTTATCAAAGGATGAAAAGAACATTATATGGAAAGTGTATGATGGGCTGAAACAGACACTTCCTAGAAATGAAGCTGTAAACCGTAGTTCTTTTTTAACTGGAGTATCTGTTTCAACAATTGAACGTATTGTACGCGAAAAGACAAAAAAAGGCTCCTTAAAAGCCCCTAAAACGCATACCCGTGGTCGAAAATTGTTGAAATTGGACGATAACCAAAAACAAATCATTCACATTCTTTTTTTTTTTTTCGAAAACAAAGCCCCCAACACTTAAAGTTGTTCTTACGAAATTAAGAGAAAACGAAGAAATTCCATTAATGAGCCGTGAAACTTTACGAAAATTTTTATGGGGCCTAAAATTTCGTTTTGTCAAACGGTGTAGGAAATCAATTTTAATTGAGAGGTCAGATATAGTGTCCTGGCGACGGCGTTATTTAGAAATATTAAAGAGTTTAGAGCCTCTAAAAAAAGATATACTATCTCGATGAAACGTGGGTGAATGCTGGACACACGGTATCTAAGATATGGCAAGATATTTCTGTAACTAGTCATCGCCAAGCTTTTATAGAGGGATTTTCTACAGGTTTGAAAGCACCATCAGGTAAAGGACAGCGCCTAATTGTTACCCATATCAGAAGTGACAGTGGATTTTTGGAAAATAGCGCTCTTGTGTTTATATCGAAAAAAAAAACAGGAGACTACCACGAGGACATGAATGCGGAATGCTTTGAAAAATGGTTTACTGAAGTATTACAGCGTGTAGAACGAAATTCAGTTATTGTACTAGATAACGCTTTTTATCACAGTCGACGAGTTGAACGCATTCCGATAATGTCCAGTAGGAAAGAAACATTTACTGAGGAGATGCTTAAAGTGGAATTCATTGACCTAATAAAGGAACACCGCAATAAATATATTCAATATGTTGTCGACACAATGGCTCGTGATCGTGGTATTACGGTACTAAGACTTCCTCCTTATCACTGCGAATTCAATCCTATTGAACTAATTTGGGCGCAAGTGAAAGGGTTTGTAGCTCGAGAAAATAAAACTTTTAAAATAGCCGACGTTCAAAGTTTATTAAAAACCCGTATAGAACGTATAAAACCTGAAGATTGGCAGAATGCTATTTCCCATGTAATTAAGGAAGAAACTAATATGTGAAACTTTAAGTTCCGACGATAAAGACGATTCCAGTGATAGTTCTGCAGAATCAATGAGTTACGAAACTTCATAGATTTGAAATTCAAGTAAGTGATACCAAGCTTAATTTACATATTTTTATAATACACAAAATACAATTATAAACATAGATGAATTATTATAACAATAATAGATAACCAACCTACTTTCATCTAGTAATATTCACAAATACCCATTTAATTTGCCAATATAGTATTTCTGCGACACTGGAAGAGTACATTTTGATATGATAACGATACCTTTTGCAGTTTTAAGGCGCACCTTCTTCAATATTTTGTTCTAGTATAATACCCCATTTAATTTTCCAATAGTGTTTCTACGCCACTGGCATAATATTTATATATTTTAACAATAAACAAAACAAAATTATGAACATAAATGATTATTACTAAAAAAAAAAGATAACAACCTACTTTCATCTAATATTATTTACTATTACCGCATTTAATTTGCCAATATTTTTTATACGTCACTGGCGTAATACATTTTGGCAATAAACATGCATTTATGACTAGTTGGCACGTGATACCGATAACTTCTGCTGTTTTAATCGCGTGATTCCATTCATTATGCCCTGGTATAGTATGATTGTTGTACGTGAACAGGGAGGAATCACCTTCTTCAATATTTTGTCCGAGTATAGCAATTAGTTTCGTTTGGGCTCGCGGTTTCAAGACATGTCACACGAATTTTATTATTGGTTTTTATTTTCAGCTATTGGCCAACAAAAGCTATGCCTTCTCATTAAGCATCCGTACCTCATGGTTAAAAACAATATTAAAACTAAATTAAAATTAATGAGATTATCCATAAAATCTACTTTACGTATATTTTAAAATGTCTAAAATAATTTCTGTAAAATGTAGATGAAATACTTGCATTTTTTGGCAGTCCTGCAGGTCTACAACCTTTATGCACCAGCTGCCACTGGCCCAAATGAAACGAATTACTGGTCCATTGTTGAATCAGGCCAAATGATTTGTATAACCAGCCAATTTATTTCGATGTTACACTGAAGATGGCTCCGAAACTATTTTGGGCCCATATCTCGAAAATAGAGCGAGCCCAAACGAAACAAATTGCTGGCCCATTGATCCCATTGCTTACTGAATCAGGCCCAATGGTTTGTACGACCAGCCCATTTATTTCGATGCTACTACTGTCAAAACGGTATGAGCCCAACCGCTGAATACTATGGGCCCAATGAGTCCAAACGAGAGACATTCTGACCCATTTGTCTATTTCCATTTTCGGAAACATTGCAATGCCATTGATATCAGCCAAAAAACAGCTAGTAGATGAGAAAAAAGGGTTTCGTAAAGGGGTGAATTGAAGGGTTTATTGGAATAACATGACAAACCACAACCTTAATTTATTGAGGAAACACGTCTTCAAAGGTTAAGATAAACTTCTAAAACCACTACAACTTTGTTAAAATGGAATACCTTGATTTTTTGGCTAATGATGGTATTTGTTAATAAATTTCCATTTGTATTTGGTATTATTAGTATTATTAGCATGATATATTATTTGTCTTACCTTTCAAATATTGCTACTTTCCATAATTCTAAAGCACCTATCATATCACGTTTTTTATCTACACAAGTTGCACCCAATAATTCTATAGCGTCGATTCTTTGTTTCCTCGACACGAAATTTGGAACGTTTATTATATATTCTACTATATGATTATGTCCTGTCACAGCTGCAGCCATCAATGGAGTCATTCCTAAAAAAAAAAAAAAAAAAAAAAAAAAAAACTTAAGTTATACATTTTAAAATTATTTTCATTTATACAGGGTGTTATGATTGTAATACTTGGGGAATGTTTGGAAAACTGTTTATTAGCGTCGATTGTAGCACGATTTCCCTTCCAAGATCATCCCAGGAAAAGAAGTTTTTGAAAGACTTTTAAGAAGATTTCGTGAAACTGGTACTGTTGCTTATGAGAAGGAGAGGAGGCCGGGGGGATGGGTAGGGGGCAGGGGCCATGCCCCTCCAGTTTAAAATTTGTATATTTGTATTCAATTGATAAGTCTTTTATTTAGTCTGAACATATGTACAGCGATTCGTGGTGGGTCTCAGTGGACCATGCCCTCCCCCCCAGGTTAAAATTTTATTTTACTCCATGAGTTACAAAAATGCTATATGTAAAATGCTATAATATGCAAAATGCTATATGCACAATGATATATGCAAAATGATATGTGCAAAATGCTACTATTACCGAACAAAAGTAGGAATTGGAATTGGGGAGCTAAAAACGAAAATTCAGCCTGGAGCCGCCCTTGAACACAAGCACAATAATAGGCATTCCAAACAAAATGACCGGTTTTGACAGGTTATGATATGGCAACATTATGGTAACCCTGTAGGCCTGGTGATTTAAAAGGGTCAATGAAATAGATAATCATATAGATTGATCATCCATGTTTTTCAAAATGAACATAAGCTTATGCCTTAAAGTAAAAATATAGGTAATTATTTTTTTTACTATATTCAAAGGCTAAAAATTGGTTTGTACACACATTTTTGCTAAACCGATTTTGATTAATGAGTACTTACGAGGCAATATGGCCACTCGTAAACGACCAGCTTTGAGCAATCTATATAACCTTATATGTATCATTGACCCTGGCATCGCCAAAGATTAATTTTAGGTACAACAATGAATATCTAAATGACTTACCATAAGAATCTACGTCCATTTTCGCTCCGTGCTCGAGCAATAATTTCAAAACTTCTAAACTTCCGGATTCCGCACAATCGTGCAACGCTGTATTTCCTTTGACGCTCTTCCTATTAACACTGGCCTTAAGACTTAATAAATATTTCGCTATACTGATGTGCCCTTTATAGCAGGCGATCATTAAACATGTATGACCATGCCTAAAAATAATAGAGAAGTAGGTATGTAATTATTTAATATGTACTCCCTTTATTAATTTACAGTCCTATGTAAAGCGGAGGACTACATAAGTTAAACCGTGATGTTAGAGAGCTATTGCAAGTTCATTTAAGGTCGTTTAAGTTCTAGGACTGACTTTTTTGGCGATGTTTAACGGCAGCTAATAGTGGCGACTTTATTATCTTTCCGGTGTGCTCGCCGACATTCGTATACCTAAAATCGCCTAAAATGGCAATTTCTAATGCCTCTTTCATATTATGTACTATTAAAGATGAACTATTTATTAGGCATTCCAAAGACCTGTCAAACAATAGCTAGCCGGAGTGCAGAGCTGGTAGGTATATCTAAAGGGGTTGCGACATAGTCTTTCAATTTTGGACGCTATTTATTCAAAATAGCAGTCGCCAAGACTGCCTGATGCATTGGGCGTCTTAGAGGAAAACCCAATTCAGGTTCCCGAAAATACAATCTCAGAAGAAATTTCTCTACCAGGTTCACCAAAAGTTTCAAAAGAAAATCTGATTCAGGCTACAGAAAGTTTAGAAATATAACATCAAGCAGTGGGAAATCCATGTGTCACTAATAAATAATATATGGAGGTGATGAAACTCCAGAAATTCAGAAAGAAAACGAGAATACACCTCCAGATTCAAAGAAAAACATTTCAGTGATTCCAAAGACCATACTAATAATTGGAAACAATGCAATGTCCAATTCGAGAGACGCTAAAATGGTGGTTCCCACCTTATCGAGACTGAGGCCCACAAGGGTAAACTCGTAGCGTAACAAAAACGAGAAATTATTTAACTTGGAACGAAAGTCCGAAAGCTGATTATAGTATTAGGACATTTAATTTTTTGGTTTGTGAAGCATTGGCATTACTTAGGTTAAACCATGTGATGATTTTCACAAGCCTCACAAGGTTTAAAAACTTGTTCGAGCAATTTATCCAATATTAATTGGCCCATTTACCTCTGAAGCCTGCTCATGTAAAATATTTGGGCCCCTTACTTCGCCTATTTATATTCTATTAATAAAGGACAGAAGGATGAGTATTGCAACTATGTTAAAAGAAATAAATTGGCTTTCAGTTCAGAATTATGTTCAGTACACGACTGATATTTATTTATAAAATAATAATGACATAGTACCATCGCATCAGATCTATTAGAAAAAATTCAATATAATTCGTAATATCACAACTATAATACAAGAAGCCAATCTGACTTTCATGTACGGCAAGCTATCACTAAAAGTTCCCAAAATACAATTTTTATTGAAGGTTTAAAAAATTTAATAGACTGCCTATAGAAATTAAAAAAAAAAACAACAATAAATGTATTCAAAAGTAACCTCAAACAATACTTGATAAATAAACAGAACGGATATACTTTCTTCTGATAATACTTTTTTAAACCTGCCCTTTTTAAGTATTTTCCTTAATTTATTGTTATTACCTCTCGTTTCACCCGCATTTACTTGATGTTACATTAATACTACTTACTATGTTTAAATTATTAATAGTTTTGCGACGATAGCCACAAAATTATTTTTGTGTTAAGGTAGATCTATAGAGAGTAATGTAATTTCAATCTTTCAACATACAAATAAATGACAACTTTATAAATAAAAAGAAAAACACAACAAAATACCTTGGTATCAGAATTGATCAAAATTTGAAATAGGTGAGTACGTCATTAAAATCCCAAGACAAGAAAATTCATTTTTAAATTTTATGAATTGAGGAAATTTATGACTAGGAGTTTACTAATTATTATTTACAATTCGCTGGTTGAATATGTAATCGAAAATCGTATAATTAAAGTTATCTACAAAAAAAAACCAGCATAATATCCTACCTCTCTTTTTATAATAAAAATTGCTTTTTATAAGAACATTATATTATCTACCTTGCTGTACCTTTATTTATGGAAAGCCTGAATTGAGATACACTACAAATTATTTGCAATAAATATCAAAAGAAGCATACATTTTTAAATAATTTGACATTTAAGAGCCATTCACACATCACAGTTGACATCTTGATACTTGACAGGCACAGCCAAGCATTACTCTGATTTTTGCCAAATAAAATGGCCGGTTAATTATTCTATGGGGTTGTAACAGAGAGCCAGTAAATTTGATGGTATGTTTGTGGCTAAGAGCGAAATATTAGTACGCTTAAGTTAGCACCACTATAAAAAGGTCATTTTTAAGAAACTGCTTATATATTTTTCATAAATAGGCAGGATTGGCAACTAATTTCAAATAAAAATAGCCTCCAAAATGGCAAGTATGAAGGTCGCAACCCGCCTTAGAAATTTCACCTTTACTATCAACAGTTGTTGTTTGACAGGTCGTTAGAGAATGTTTGCAATTTATGGAATGTAAAGAATGTAAAGAATGTTAGGAATGTTGACGTTAGAAATAATTGGAATTCCTAAAATTGTCACATCAGAAATTCATAGGCGGATTTTAAGAAAATGGATATTAAAGTAGTTAGGATGGACCGAAAATTCTGAAAATCAATAGGGTTCTAAGTTAGAAGTAATTATTCAAAAAAATAAAAATCGTAAGTCAATCAGAACTTTCGTTCTAGAGTTAATGTGCCGGCATACATACACACAGACGACCAGACGAAAAAAATTTTTTTAGGAAGGGCCTCAGTAATTGAAGAAGTCTAATGTTGATAAACCTACAAATGCAAGAAAATTTATTTTTCCTAGATTTCCAGTTGTAATAGAAAATCCAGATGAAAATGTGCCGTGTTTAATGTGTAATACAATGCAATATCTGCGAAGGGTGGGCCCATAAGTTGTGTTCAAATTATGTGAGAGGCGTCTTCATTTGTGACAACTGTAGGGCAAAAGTTTTTTCAAAATGAGTTAATATACTTCATTATTATTTTTTTACTTTGTATACTCAATGCAGTGGCAAATTTTTACTCTTATATATAAGTATAGTTGACCTTATTCTTGTAACTACGAATTTTTATTTGTTGATGTAGTTTCTTGAATAAAATTTAATTTTTCTTATCAGTTTCGCCTCTATAAATCAACATTGAGATATTGATCGTCTTGGCCAAGTTAGTGATCGGTTTTACCTAGGCGTAGTGGACAAAACCGTTATTTGTTAAATGTCAAATTTCTGTAAAATTTCAGAACACCTCAGTATATTCCATTTTTATGTTTACATAATATAAGAATTGATACATCATTACTTATGTTGGCCTTTGGGGAAGAATTGACCCTGTCATAAGGCTTTAAAGTTAAGTGGCCGGTATTGGAAATTAAAATAAATATATGTGTAAGATGTATAAACACTAAGAAAACAATTCTTTCAGACTCTCTGGTAGACTTTATAAAAACAAGCAAAAACTCGTGAGATTCGATAGTACAGGTTAAAACTTTAAATCTGTAAAAATTAAGGCGATGCCATCAATGCTTTCGATGATGTTATTAATGTAAAATTGAGAATAAAGGGCTCCTATTTGTACCTTGAGGTATCTAAGAAATTTCAATGAAACATTCTGATTTAAAACCATTTTAGTGAATAAAATGTTAACTATTACTGAGATATTTATTATATAAAATAATTGTGAGATACATGGAATGGAGAACACAGAATGTATGCAAACAACAATACAAATCTTGCAGGAAATATGGTGGAGATTAAATATTTTAACCAAAAACATAATTGACATTTTTTTAAATATACGGTAGTTTAACGTCATTCTGACACTTAATATAAAGAAAAGAATGATCCACAAAAAAAGTTCCTAAAGTAAACCATGACCGACAAAGACAGATATTATATCCGTGACACTTAAAAAGAAGAATTATTGTTCGCTTGAAATAGATGAATTTTTCCAAGACCTATTTTAGAAATTTTTGTGAATCACTCTTCATTACTGAACATTAAATTACCTATTCGCTACTTCTATATCGGCGCCATGTTGGACTAGGTATTTGACGATATCAAGATGACCGTCGAAACAGGCAGCTCGAAGGGGTGTCGAATTTGTCCGAGTGGTGGTGTTTACCTTGGCACCGTGACTGATCAACAGCTTGACGATGTCAAGATGGCCGGCAGCAGCTGCGCACCATAGTGGCGGGGCGCCCTCTATCGTTTCGCCATCAAACATTACTAAGAAATAACAAAAGAAATATAAAGTATCAGTAACTCGTATAGTCCAAACCGTTGTATGCGTACATACAAGGTCCAAACTAAAACTAGATCGAAAAGTTCAAACGAAATAGAATAGCGCATCTATCGGTGCTTTAAATATAGTTAACTTTTCAATATTGACTACAAGGGAACGGTATATAAACGCAATGCTATTGAATATAGGGCGTAGTTAAACCAATTACTATATTTATTGTTCTCACGTCCAAATAAAATTAAGCGTCTCATTTTTTTGCCTGATGCGTCGGTTAACGTACTGTATAGAAACATGTCAGCATATTTATTGGCTATTTCAGGCACAGCACAAACACAATTCGCGATTCAGTTTAATTGTTCCGCGTTGTTTTTGATCAGTTGATTTGGTTTTAAGTAGGCAAGCCACACTACTGTGTCATCATATTTTCTCATGAGAGAATATTGAACCAAAAGGTGAATTCCAAATTAAAGATATTATGTCGTGCTAAGTTAATATTGCAGTAAATCGGTACTGCGATTATCTTTGCCACTGAAATTGTGACATTGGGAATTCTATTTTTAGGTTCCACTTTATTAAAATAGTAATAGATAATAAAGTAATAGATTTTTATAATTATTGTAACAACAACGGCAACACTGAGGCCTGCTTAAACAATTTATAAAATGGACCGCAACTTAGTTTGAATCGCCAACAGGGCGCTGCCATTTTGGACTTGTACCACAGCGTCAGCATTGGCCTAAAATTATAACTTTACAATCTTTTATCAACGTTTTTACAATCATTTAATATTAAAGAAAATAACAATTTGACTAGAAGAAGGAAATAATTCCTAACTCAAATGTGATCAAAAAGTAAAATACATCAAACAAATATCAAAGTCATAGTCACTACACATGGGTAACGCAGCGTTGCGTTATTGAGTTAACGCAATGGAATGCTTTACAAGTGTTGACACACCAGCTGTTACTATATCAGCGCAATGCAATTTTGGATACAGGGTCAAAAGGATCGGGAGTTGATGCTGGTTGATGCACCATACGCTAGGCACTGATTCCATTTTACGTGACGAGTTGAGAATTTTAATTTATGTCATTAATGCAACTCGTAATGCAGATTACCCAAAAAATATCAAGTAATTATGTTATTTGCAACATGTCACATCATTTGTGAGTCGAATTTTATGGATTTTAACCTTGTACACTGTCAATTCTTTCCATTTTGATTGGCTACTAGCTACTAGTAATAAATCACTACAAAAGTTCTATCCTTTTTATAGAAATTGGGATTTTTGTATTCTTTGGAAAATCCGAACACAATAAAATAAAAAAATGGGTGCTTTATACTGTTATATTTTCGTTTGTTTTTAAATATTCAATAAAAAAATTATTTTAGTTGAATTCCCAGTTGCGTTATAGCCTTAAACACGGTTTGACACTTAAAAAAGGACTGCCCGCGCTGAATAACACCGGTATCACGCGATACACCGAGGTGAATCGACTTCATTCGCCGCAGGTAGTGGTGTAACGCAATAAGTTGGCGCAATACAGTGCGCCGGAGTTAGTGTATCAACGTAAAGAATTTTAGTGCGTTACCCATGTCTAATAGTTACAATATATGGGCGGCCGTTTTTCTTTTGACAAAAACTACTCTTTTGGCCAATACCTCACCAGGTATTGAATTACGTCAAAATTAAACAGCAGAGATAGAAAATATTTTTAACACTGTACCTCTGATTTTGCTTACTATGGAGAAAGTCATTTTTGGACCGGTTTCGTCCTTATTAGGACTCTTCAGCAAGAAAGAGACATTCTCGATTTCGATCGAATTTCGTATTACCTTCAGACTCTATTAGAGACTGGGGTCGATATTTTTTATTTCTTGCTGAAGAGTCTTAATAAGGACGTAACTGGTCCAAGAATAACTTTCTCCTTAGTAGCACGTTACACAAATACCAGTATGTTACTGCGCATGTTAGCTCTATCCTTGTCACATGATATGACGTCACGTGGCACAAAAATCTGACGTACCTTCATAAATACAAGTAATGAGACGTTTTCGATAATAAAAAACTGCAACATTACTTCATTATTAAAGGTTGTGGTTTTTATGAAGTGAAAGTAGAGAAGTTACTGTATAAGTAAAAATTTTATGAACATTTAGTAATTTATTATTGCAACTAAAACAAGAATAAGATATGTGAAAAAGTACAATGAGCAAAGACACTTTATTTTAAAGAAATATATCTTACATAAGTTCATAACAAAGAACTTTGGTAGCGTAGGTGTCTACGGCGCGGCATTCATTTGTCAGCCAATTTCCTGGTAAACGAGACACGGTTTCAGATCCTACTGAAGACCATGATAATTTATTTGCATGGTTTTCTATAGGATTTGATGGATGCCATTATTAGCAGGAATTTAATTTCTGTTGATATGACATCCAGATTATTAAAATAAAATCACCATAATTTACCATTTCGATGATGGTTTTCCGGGTTTTCCTCTCCTGTAAGTCAAATGCCACCATCAATCATCTTTAAGTCGCCCCGGAGCGCCACGGCAAATAATAATAATAGTCGTCTCTTTCCCCGCACAAGCTCAGCTTTTGGGGTTAAAATTCACTCGTAAGGGGGTGAATTAGGGAGAGTATTATTATTATTATTATTAAATTGATAGGCACTTTCTAGCTCGTGAGCCAGCCTACATATTTAATGTAGTTGAAAACGTCGCCAAAAGGTGCTTTTCTTTTATCGGCTGGAGTTAGCCGATATTCGCCGAACACAAATCTACCAATAAATGAGAGCGTCGGGCAATAGTAGAGGATATGCTCGACGGTCTTATCTTCTTGTTCGCACCCCCTGCTGAGTGCGGATTCTGACAGCCCGTACTTGGCAATGACCAGTCGGAATGCCTGTGATCAGGCGCAGATTATGCCTAGTCATGGTCAAGTATTTGTTTGCAGTTTCTTGTTTCATGCCATCTTTCCTTGGGATTTTACAAGAGAATGTTCTTTAATTATTAAGTTTGTCACTATCGATGTTATCAGTCTAATAGAAGGACCAGGTCCAAAAAGTATATGGTTGGCTGCTTTCTTGGCAGTGAATCATTAAGACGGTTACCTTTCTATATTGCATGACCTTTGATCCATCTTAAGGTGACCACATTGTTGATGGCTACTTCAGCCAAAACTTCGTGACATTTTAGTACTAACCCTGACTAAAGTAGTGGTCTTTCCAGGGAAATAGTGCTTGTATACTATCTGTATAAGTGAGCATGTTCCTGTCAGTGATATTGTTTCTGGTAACGTCCTTTGCTGCTATGAGAATCCCCGTGAACCCGGTTTGAACTACACCAGCACTTTTGCTCACGGCCCATTTTACATTTAGGTTTAAGGATCTGAAATAAACTCTACATCCTCAACCTTGTTTTGTTTTAGAACGGTGTAGATAAGAAATGTAGATAAGAATTGTACCTACCACATCCGGCTCTTCTATTTGTTTCGTTCTAACTTTATATGGCGACGTCTCGCCTCACCAGATCCTACATCAGCAACCCAACTATGTGTCATGTGGAAATCGACGTGTAGATTATCAAATACCAATGCGACTTTCATTTCAACATACTGCAGTTTTGGTACTCTGTGTCAGTGTCGCCTAAGATTCGGATATCATCGTGAAAATGGTGTCGATTGCACCAATGTAGACTTTTTATTTAAGCAATGGTTGTTTAAAACATATATTGTGAAATCTCAAATGATGCGTTTTGATTGGCTACCTACATTATTTATTTTCTACTACATTATCGACATCTGATCGACATCGACACCATCCGATTAGTTTATATGGCCGTGTGTGTTTTGATTAGTTTTGACGTGTGTTATTTATTTCTTAATATTGTTTTTATTTTGTTTGAAAATAATGTTGCCTCTTATGGTGCGTTTGATTTGATCATCGGAGATCTCTGAGCGCTTCAAAAGTGTTTGAATTGACACTCCGAGAGATCCCTAAAGTGTTTGTTTCGCTTTGGAGCGAGAACATAGAGCGAGCTCGATGTTCTCAGAGCAGAAAGATCGAGAAGATGGAGAAATTTGTCTTTGTCTCTACCTATCTCTTTTTAATTAACTTACAAACAAATTTGAATCTTAAAATTAAAGACCAGACAAGAAGTCAACAAATTACTTAGCCGCTTTTGTCTTATAGCTAAAATTATTCAACATAAAAAAACACAAAATGTGTGTTTGGAAAATACATTTTTTCTGTCCAGATCTAATCACCAATAATCACAGTCATGGAGTAGGAGAGCGAAGCGGGCATTTGTGGTAAATGCTGCATTTCAGGGCCATTACCCCTTATTATTAAAAGTTTTTCCATTTTCTTTACTTTTTGCTCACTATTTTAACATACAAACCAGAAACAAGAATCACAAAAAAGCGAGGTTATGTTTTTTACTCTGTTTTATTTGATTTGATTCAATGCTCTATTGTGACGTCATCACTTCTCGGTCTCCTCGACGCTCGCTCGATCGAGTTTCAAATCAAACGCCCCTTTAATAATGTAAACGTCCATTAAAGCCTCAATAATCACTGCGGACTTTCATTTACCTGTAACTAAAAACCCAACTATTTAACAAATACTTAATAACCAAAGACAATCTATAAAATATATGACTGTTATAGTTGACTGACGCTTTTAGAAACGACTCAAATGCAAAGCGAATTTCTTCTGTTTCTAATATCACACGTCGATACGTGTCTCTTGGAATCGATCGCTTTAACATAAAATGTTCAAACAATGCGACATGTGTTTCTATACAGTATAAACTAGAGGTTACAGTTTGTAAAGGCATTACCTACTATCTTAGTTATGTTTTATATTATAACCAAGTAGAAAGCAAGTATTGGAAGGGTACTTACCAGATCCAGGTTGTTCCAAATCCGCGTGACATCTTTCAATGAGGTACTCGGCAACGTCGTAATGTCCATTTCGGCAAGCTATAACCAAGGGGGTGGCCCCCGAAGTTTTCGCCGCCACTAGCATAGACACTTCGTCTTTGCCCTTGTTGCAGTGCAGGTATATCTGTAACAAACAAGTCTTTAATTAAAAAAAAGTAAATGGAAATAATTACAAAGATGTATAACTACAAAGATTTAGAAAATGGGGAGTTGTGGGTATGTGTATTTAAAACTTTTTAAAATTTGTCAATCTTTTGTCATATGTCACTGCCACAGCAAATGGCTGGACTCTGCAAGTAAACAAGTCCTGCAATATCTTCTGAGGTTTTTTACAGGATTGGGCAGAATGGACGGAACATGAGATTTCTGTCTTACTGGGCAAGTAACAAAAAAAAAATGGTTGGACAAGTTGATTTTGTTTTTTTAGATGCGCATTTTTTGATATAGTTCATTTCATAGCCTTTCAGTTGCACGTCATACGGCATCTATCTCGCTTTATCGCAATGAGTTGAAAGAAATGCAAAAAACGGTACGTCCGCTAAAAATTTTCGTGACGCAACAAAATCATGAGAGATCTACACGTAGATATTAAATAACTACAATTGACACAATACAGGCATTTCATTGGCTGCCGTTTGCTATACGTCATGGCCTTATAGTCAAATTGTACTCTTGAACGCGCTCTTTAGCTATTTTTGATAAACGTCAAAGTGTACGTCTGACAGTTTTTATCAGACCAGTACTTCCATTAGTTCCATTTGTAATAATTATTGTGGTTAATCACACTTTTTAGAAATTGGAATATTATTTTTTATTTATTTATTTTGATAATTATAAACATGCCGACGTATAGCGAAAAAGAGCAAGCGTTTGTATTAAAACTGCTTGCTTATTTCCAATTAGAAAAACAAGCCGGTAAAACTCTATTGCCGGTAAATGCTGTATATGAAATAAGTTTCACATCTTAAAGTTTAGTAAAAATTCATTAACGATCAATTAATTTTAGCGTGTTTCGGCCGCCTTAGGAACTGTAGGACGATTGGCAAATGAAGGTATTCAAGCAGATCGCGAATACTCAGCTAAAATGTCCGATTCTGTGAGCGTTAGGCGTGGTCCCAATATTTGGGAGAAATATGAACATGGTATCAGGACTTGTATATACAGAATGTTTAGTCAAGGTTGGTATTTACTAAATACATATATTTCAAGTTAGATTGTATAAGGTTCTAAATATCTTCATCAATGTTATTATGTTTCCATTTCACACACAAATTTGTTTACTGGTTCATTATTAGTTTATTTTCAAGGGTTAGTTTTAATAATTTTTTTTTGTAACATTTTTTCTTATTGTAGGTGAGCATGTGACTCTTTATACGTTGAAGAAAAAAAATAGAAGATGTATATGGGACAAATAAATCAGTTTCTTCACTTAGTAGGGCTTTAAAAGAATTAAAATTCAAGTGGATAAGCTGTAACATTTCTAACAGAAAATATCTCATGGAACAGTCACATGTTACACGAAAAAGACTGTTTTTTACGAGATTTAAAAAAAATGAAAGTGATTCTCATCGACTCAAGCCTGTATATCTTGATGAAACTTGGATATTCAGCAAAGGAGGATTTCGCAAAAGCTGGCAGGATGGATGGTACCGATAAGGCAGTCAGAAAGAAGAGTGGTGAAGGTGTACGATACATTGTTCTTCATGCGGGCTCTGAAAATGGATTTATTAATGACTGTAGCTTGATATTTAAAAGTGGTAGTAAATCTGGCGATTATCATGATTCAATGAATGCTGATAATCTTGAAAGATGGTTTGAATATCAGCTTCTACCAAGCTTAGAAGAACCGTCATTACTAATAATGAACAATGCGTCGTACCATTCAACGTTGCTCGAAAGAATACCAAATGCAAGTTGGAACAAAGTTTCTCTGATTAATTGGTCAAAAGAAAGGAATATACAGTTTCCAATGCCTAGTATGAAGTTCGAATTGTTAGAAATTGCCAAGAAACATGTACCAGATAAAGTATACAGGTATGTTATGATATAATTTAATAAGATATTAAAAATGTATATTTTACAGATTAGATAGATTCGGTTTTGCATGGCCATCGTGTGTTGAGACTGTCTCCATATCATTGCCAGTTCAATCCAATTGAACTTGTTTGGTCTGAGTGTAAACGGTATTACGATGCAAAAATAACTTCGACAGAACGTATTACTGCAGATACTGTAATTAGTGTTTGGAACGAATCTCTTTAACAGGTTTAATGCAAAGTTTTTTCTTATGCTATGGTTTATAATTGTTATGTAATTGTAGATTACACCAGCAAAATGGAAGAGGTATGTAGACCATACAAGAAAAATTATTGATGAATATTGGGAGACTGCAAAAATCATTGATGCAAGTAATCTCTCCTGTAATCATTGATTTAAACGAATCGGATAACGAATCAGATTGGGACTTGTGGGGAGACAACTCCGCATAATAAACGTTTATTGTATTGTATTCAAAAATAGCTGTTGTTCTACACGTTTAACGTTACCAGTTTTGTTAAATTTCAATGATTTCCAAGGTAATTAGTTTATCGAATAAAACTAATGTGATTTTTTAAACAGATCTAATTTCTTATTGTAGGTTTCATCCGGCAAGTGATCCTTGTTGTCTTATGTCTTAATGTTATATTATTTATGATAATAAATATCAATTAAAAATACATTTTGTTTTATTTTGTAATGTTTTGATATCACAATTCTTATTAATTTCAAAGCCTTTTCCTATTTGGCTGAATACGATCCTGACAACTGTCAAAATTTTGTAGAGTTGCCATCAAATTTCATGTAGTAATCAAAGACATGCCGAAAACATGATATTACGTCATATTTGGTGACGTGCAACTGGAAGTCTATGCAATGAACTATATACGTAATGTTTTTTATGACGTTATCACTATTTGGATTGATCTTGAAAAAGCAACCAAAGTAGAGTAATCACTTGACGGAGCCACTCTGAAAATATTTTTGCCGACGGTATATCTATTTGTGAGTTTAATTAATGTATAGAAAATCTATTAAATAATTTTGGTATAGGCAAACAAACATACATAATTATTATAAAATCTAATCAAGGAAGTGCTGTTATCAATTTAAAATTTATATTTTATGAAATATATTATAAATAATTGATCAGTCAACGAAAATCAGATTTTTCCCAACTTAACAAGATTACGATTAACGGAACATTTTTGTAACCGAATAGTTACGACTTTGATTAATGTATCGTTCATTAATGGCCCCTATTAATGAATTATATTTGTCTATTAATAAACAATTTTAGTACAAGCAAACACATAATATGACCTTGTCATCAAGATTGGTCATTGGCATTTACTCGAGTAATTAACAATGTTCCTAATTTTCAAATTAAAATTTAAAAAACATTATTCTCCAATATAATAAAAAGTGCCTACAAAAATATCTTGAATCACTGATCTCTCCTGTTAAAATCTATTCTACAGTGTAATGTCTATTATGTGAAATGGTTAAAAAAACATTTTATATTTTAATAAAAAGACTTACAATGAATAAAAATCTGTTCACTACGAGAACCACTAAGCAACTGACTCAAGGAAAAAATATAATAATAGATACAAAACATACAATGGCTATAATAACCATCGTATTTTTCATCCTTCTTGTTGATTATATTCTTAGAATCTCAATAACTTCGACGTGAAGTTTAAATAAATAATATTAGATATTTTGACATATACCGAGTATATACTTAATCGTATGTAAAGATACGTTTGTTTTTTAAATTTTAACCTTACATTTTCAAGATCCATATCGGATAGGGAATTTGAAGATAAATTGGGATATTTGTAAAAAACATTTTTTGCGATAACTCAATAATAAGAGCTACTAGAGTTTGTTTATGGGAACACCAATAATTATTATTCTGTATAAGTAGTACGAATATTAAATTGCCTATAGGAAAGTCATTGGGATATGTCTTTTACGGGTGTGAAATAATGTAAATTTAAATATAGAATATATAAAAAATTTTAAAGCGAATCTTTATAGGAATTAAAAATGACATCGGACTATGAAGAAGAATAAACAACTAAGAAGCATGGGCGTCGTTATACAATTCTAAAGGGAGGGGCAAAATTAAACAAAAAATTAGAATGTTTATTTGTTGAAAAACAAAAAAAGTGTGATATACAAAAAATAGGAACAAGAAGACACAGACATCACAATAATAAAAAAAAATATTTATAGAAACAAGAAAACATAAAAACTCGCACTCAAACACGTCGACGAACACAAACAAAGACTTTAGGAAAACGCATGAAATGTCTTCTTTCTCTACCAAAAATATCGATAACAGAAGACACAATTTGTTTTTTGTTTTCTGTGCACTCATCATCAGCCCAGTTTATGGTTGCCGCTTGTCCTTTTTTCAAATAAATTGTTCTTGTTACTTTTTAAACCTGAAAATGTCCTTTTTGAAAACTATATTTCAATATTTTTCATGATTAACTTATTCGCAGCAGCACACTTTCCCACAAATGAAACCCAGTACCACTACTTTTTTTGCGAATGCACTTCATCATTTTACATGTGTGCAGCTGTCGAAAAAAGTTTGGTTATTTATTTTCAATATTCCAAACAAACCAAATAAATTTCTGCGGCTTAAACCAACGTTTAAAGATTATATTATCTAAACTATTTTGGGTATTTTGCGGTTTTATTTTTATTATTTGAGGTGATACAGAATTCAGACTGTGAGAGATTGAAAATTAAAAAGAAATCCTCATCAAAGCTTATTAATATACTAGCTGTTGCCCGCGGCTTCGCAAAAAAACACGATAATATGTTGTTTTAGTGTTCACAGTATGTTTGTGATAGTATAGACTAATGTTAATTAGACTATTCTAATATTTAAATATATTAATCTAATTGATAATCTCATTTTATACCACATTTCTGGTACGGCTCTCATCTGCTAATATCACCAGATTGCACGCAGTACTTATTTGTTTTAATTTATTTTAATTTACTTTTATTTATTTTTATTTATTTTTGTTTATTTTTATTTATATTTATTTTTGTTTATTTTTA